CCAGGCGAGGGGTACTTGTGTGTGAGGGCATCGTGGCCGGGCATGTTCCGCACGCTGCTGCACGACCACGAGCGCTATGAGACCAACTACTTTGCGCCCTTCAAAGGCTTCTACTTCTCAGGAGATGGGTGCAGGCGGTGAGTGGAGGCTCAGTTGCATTTGAGCGATTGGCACGGGGTCACATTCGCCTCTGGTTCACACACCCGTAAACAAGAACGCGAACCAGCTCGCGAAAGCAGCACTAAGCCGACCCACCCCTCATTCCTTCTTCCTTTTCCTCCTCCCCCTGCCCCCCCCACCAGGGATGCGGATGGGTACTACTGGGTGACGGGGCGGGTGGACGATGTGATCAACGTGAGTGGGCATCGCATCGGCACAGCTGAGGTGGAGTCGGCTCTCGTGGCACACCCCGCCTGTGCCGAGGCTGCTGTCGTTGGCTTTGACCACGAGGTAAGCCACTTGCCGCCCACAGGGAGGGAGGGATTTTTTTTTTTTTTTTTTAAGCTGCCTTTGCCTCGACCCTCTCTGTGACCTTTTCCAATGCTATTTTCCATCCCTATTCCCTCCTGCCACTCTTCCCCGCACGGCACGGCATGGCAGATAAAGGGCCAGGGCATATACGCGTACGTGACGCTGGTCTCCGGCGTCGAGTACGCAGACAACCTCCGTCTGGACCCACCCCCTCCTGCCCTCACACACCTTCTCCCCCTATGCCCTACCACCCTTTCCCCCGCCCCCCTCGCCACCCCATGGCAGATAAAAGGCCAGGGCATATACGCGTATGTGACGCTGGTCTCCGGCGTCGAGTACGCAGACGACCTGCGCCTGGACCTCGTGCGCGCCGTGCGCTCCACCATCGGCGCCTTCGCCGCCCCCGACCACATCCACTGGGCGCCGCACCTGCCCAAGACGCGCAGCGGCAAGATCATGCGGCGCGTGCTGCGCAAGATCGCCGCCCGGCAGGAGGACGAGCTGGGCGACCTCAGCACACTGGCTGACCCCTCGGTGGTGCCGCTGCTGCTGGAGCTACGGGACTCGGATGACTGCAGCACGTGTGTGTTCGTGCCGCCGGTTAGTCAGGAGGAGGAGAAGGAGGAGGAGGAGGCGACGGCGAGGGTGGATTTGGAGGTGGTGCACGAGCACTTGCTGGAAGATGATGAGTGGCATGAGAGGGTTGGGGGGGGTGCAGGGGATGAGAATGGGAATGGAGGAGTGGGGGTGGTGGTGCGGAATGGGGCAGTGAAACAGGAGAATGGGGCTCTGTAGCGGGTTAAGTACTGCGATTTGCCTTGTTGAGACAGCCCATCTATGAGATGTAGTACCTTTGATAATCAATGTGCTCTTGATTATATATAATTGCACGCGTCAAAACAACCTAATTGAGAACGTGGTGGATAGGCCTTACATGTGAGTGTTGCCTTTCCTGGTCAACCTCCACATCCAACTGTGCCCCTCTATGTTGTTGAAGCATAATCTATCTGATGGAATGTCATACCATAAGATCCACTTCTAATGGCCAAGCATTTTAGGCTCAAGGCAGCTAGTACAGAGGAAAATATAACATTGACTACCGTATCCTTCTTGCTAGTTGATAATGTCAGAGGTCCACTGGTGATCCCCGATTGATCATAGGGAAGGGTTACAGGCACGTTGGCCTGGGGGGTTATGAGCGCACTCACCCGCTACATAAACAAGCCCTTTTATCCCAATGGTTAGTGGTTGGGATTCTGACAGATAAAACTCCTCTTGATCTAATTCCGAGAGTGTTTCGCCTTGGTTGTAAGCAAAATTCGTCGTGGGACCCATCCAGAGCGTTACTGATGCCACACATGAGAAATGCCCGATGGATCAGCGCTTCTGGCACGACTTTTAAGACCTTAACCCTTCCCTAGAATCAATCGGGGATCTCCAGTGCACCTCTGTCACCTCCCTGCACTGGGATGCCCTAGGTGCACACTGGGATTCGAACCCGAGACCAGTCACTAACCACGGCAAAAGGGCATATGCTCTCTTTGTCAGAGGTGCACTGGAGATCACCGATTGATCATAACGAAGCATTATAGGCAAGTTCATTTGGGTGTTTATACAAGGTAAGCTAAAAACTATATGGAGCAAAATTTGGATAGAGCCAGGTGTATCGGCGAGGAATATTGACAGCGTGCCACGTGGTTGCGTGACACAGCTGGAAATCCGAGTGCCTCAGGCCGATGCTGTCACACGCTGCTGATCTTTTAAAGCTTGTGGTGTGCATTTTGCAGCAGCGACAACGTTGTCCTGAGGCCCTCTGTCTGGGATTTGATTGTTCTCCTGCAATGATGCCTGACCACACCTCTCTTACGTCAAGAAACCGACGACGACAAGAAGTGCATCGTAGACATCGTGATGCGGCTGCAGAAACTGTTCCAGAACAGCGGTGGAGTTTCTTTCGCTGCTCTCTGCTTCCCACAACAGCATACAATATCTTACGGGCAAGCGCCCTTCCCGATGACGTGGTTGGATGTGAATCTGGTTTGTGGTGCAGGTTCATGACAATGCCCACGGCTATGATTCAACGAAGGCCCAGTGGAATTGCTGTGTGGATGGATGTCCTGGGTTCAGTTCGGTTTGGTAGTTTGCTTTGCATCGCAAAAACGTATCACCTCACCTCGCCTCACCTCCCTTAGCCAGCTGGGTTCAGTAAAAGGTTTGGTAGTTTACACTGGGTTCCAATGGTTTTTTGTTGATGAAGAGAGCAGTTGAGTAGGGTTCGAAGCACGCGACTTTGATTGAGCCCCCATTTTCCTCCTTGGTTCAGCTGGTATGTTGGATAGTTTTCCTTGCGTTCGAAAAAGGTTTCGCGGATGAAAATAGCGATTGAGTACGGTCTGAAGAACATAACGACTCATTTAACCCCCCCTGTTCCCGATACATGGACGCCCCATGTCGTAGCGGGGGAAAACTACACGCACGCAGGTCAGATGGACAGAACACCAAACAAATGCCAAAAGCACTTCACTCCACCGTCACATGGGCCCAGTTCGGCAGGCATTATGGCCATTATCGCCATTATGGGCATTTTTAATGGGCCCCCAAAAAATGGCCCAAAGAAACAGCAGTGAAACTTAGTAAAAAATGGCCTGAGTGTTCGGTTGGCATTAAATGGGCCAAAATTAATGGCCCCAACCGGAAACGATACTTCCGAGAAGCCCGTTGCAAAGCGTAGAATCACTGTACGGGCAGTCCGGGCAGCCCTACAGCAGTGGTGGACGTCGAAAAAAATCGTGCAAGGCATACTGTGCGTTCGATGTGTTAGAGATGGTGTGTTGGTGATGTGCGATTTTCCAGCGGGCTAGAAGAGGGGTGAGAAAGACCAGGATTTGTTTTTTTCAGGGCAAAGTGAGTTTGCCCCGAATCAATGATCCCCCGCATGGTGCGGGACCTCGAGGCCGCATGGTGCGGCGGATGAGAAAATGGACAGTTTGCCTGAGAAAAAGGGTTCGAGGAAGGTTCCTCTTGTGAAAAATGCCAGCGTTAAGGACGTGGTGCGGAACGGGTCCAGACCCGGTGCACCGAGGCGTCCCGGTGCGTGCCGAGGCGTCCTTAGGCGTGCCGGGGCGCCCAAACTGAATTTCAGATACCCTTCCTCGTGCTGGAATCGAACCTTCGACCAGCAACAGGCGATGGCGAATGAACCAGAGGCGAAACTTGCCAAAGAATGTGTACAGGGTACAACTTCGTCAAACTTCTCGCAAAAATATATCGTAGTTGACCCCCCCACCGAGAAAAATTCGCAATCAACAAACGATTGCATCAAGATCCTCGCGCGACAGTTGATCAAGTAACCGAAATCTCGAGAAATCGCAAGCCTTTCGAGCATGCTGGGGCGCCTCACGGCACGCCCCGGGGCGTGCTAGAACGCGTCGGTGCATCGCCTCGTCCCGGCACGCTCCGGTGCTCCGATTCCCGTGTGCATAGAAGCTTCGAAACCCGATGCACCGCGGTCCATCGAGGCGTGCAAAGGCGTTCTGCACCACGTCCTAAAAGGGGTGTTCGGCTGGCATTCCATTATTGTCTGGTTCGGCGATGATCCGCTTATATCGAGCCTAGATAACCTTTCGCGCGCTTATCGACAAAGGTTCGAGGGTGGTCGTTTCATTGTAGCCCATACGGGGAAACCGTTTTTTTAATGCCTGCCGAACTGGGCCATGGGCAGCGGGAAACAGGCAAAGCTTGCCACTGTGCAGCATTCGTGCAGCAAGCAACTTCGCTCGGCGGGCCTTTCGAGGCAGCATGGGACACGCCAGTGGTGACCGTCAGCCTCACAAATGCCACGTCCACCAACTTACTTCGCCAGCCAAGAAAGCATTCATGTTTGTACAGTATTTCCTTCTAGCAAGCGTTCTCCAAAGCTTTGTTTCCAAGAGATACCTAGGTAGTCGTAGTCCGTCACGTGCAATCAAAAGGAGATTACAGGAATGGTCAGAAGCATCATGGGCCGCAACATGCGTAGCCGTTCGCGGCACGAAGATGGACCTCACGGAACTGGAACTGACGGCGTGAGCTGTGACTCCGATCGACGTTCTTTCCAAACCAGCTGCACCACGGGCTTTTTTTTCCCGTCCATCTTCCGTCAGAGGGGTAACCATGGGAGTAAGGGTGAGAGGGTACAGCCCGCCGCTAGAGATTGTTGCGAAACATGTCCAAGCAGCGGCCATTTGTCCGAAAGACATAGTACAGCTGCTCCGACGGCTACAGAGGGTCCGACGACCAAGCATGAACAGATGCTGATCTCTCCGAGTCGGCATGCGGGAAGCTTTCAACCGGAGGCGATAGCAGAGGAGGACCGTGCCACGAAAGCCGCGGCGGCGTGGCATGCGGCGATAACCCGCCGTCGTGCGGCTTTACTAGGAAGCCACGCGGGCGCGGATTCCCGTCGACGCAGCGACAGTTTCAAGACCATCAGCATAAATGGTGCAGGGAGCGTCGCAAGTAGCTGCGGGAGTAGCTTCGGGAGCAGCAGTATGAGTCGCAGCGGCAGCACACTTACGAGTCGCAGCAGCAGCAGCAGCCTGGCGCGGTCCGACAGCGTGGGGTTCGGGCCGTCGCGGTTCGTCCTGCGGCAGCGGTACGAGGACATCGGGTTGCGATACCTGGTGCACAAGGAGCAGCTCGGCACGGGCGAGTACGGCGCCGTCCGGCCGTGCGTTGAGGCCGACTCCGGGCGGCTGCTGGCCTGCAAGACCATCCGCAAGCAACAAATTACGGTACTTTCCTTCAACATCATTTCTCTCCACTCTCTCCCGTTTCCCTGGTTCTATTTCGTGCTGTGAACCGTTCTTCCAACGGTATGTCATCGTTCAGCCTCCTCAACGGTTTGTTTTCTGCCTTGGATGTGTGACAGACGTACGAGGACGCTGAGGCGATCCGCACGGAGGTGGCGTGTCTGTGGGAGGTGAGGGGCCATGCTCACATCATCAGCCTGCACGACGCCGTGGAGGACGGCAAGCGCGTGCACCTCGTCATGGAGCTCTGCAAGGGGGGCGATCTCTTCCGCCGCGTCACCCAGCGCGGCACGCTCACTGAACGCAGCGCTGCCCGGGTTTGCCACGCTCTGGCGACGGCAGTGCTGCACTGTCACCGCCATGGGATCATGCATCGCGACATCAAGCCAAAAAATGTGCTTCTTCTAGACGATTCCGACGAGCCCCACGTCAAACTGAGCGACTTTGGTGTCGCCACTTTTTTCGAGGACGGGGATTCGTTGACTGAGTTTGCAGGAACCACGCAATACATCGCCCCTGAAGTGTGGAAGGGGCAATACGGGCCTGAAGCTGACATATGGGGTCTTGGAGCCCTCCTGTACTTCTGCATAGCCGGTGTGTCTCCTTATCGGGCCCCAACGAAGCAACAGGTAGCAGAAGCAGTGTTGACTCAAGGGGTGGATTTCAGCCTGGCGTGCTGGAGAAAAGTCACTCCAGAGTGTATAGATTTGATATGTAGCATGCTCAATAAGGACCCCTATGGTCGGATTACGCTGGTGGAGGTTCTGCAACATTCATGGATCAGGAAACATGGTAATGCATGAGATCTGTTATATATATTAAAACTAGTGTATCTAGCTTCACCCGTTGACCTTATCAATACCTGTACATGGAGCACCGACCCGCATTTTCTGTCTGTTGTCATTGTGATTGTGCTTTCGCTTTTGGCCAGCGCATCCAAGCAAGCGACTCCGACATCCTCAGGGGCACGGCCAGCACGGGCACAGGCTCAAGGGACAGCACAGCACAGCAACGCCCTCCGCGTCAAGCCCGCAGGAACGGACAGCAACACAAGCCTTCCGTTCCTGAAAAAGTCTGTGCTGCTGTCACTCGAGCTTTCTAGTTGAGTATTTTGCCGAAACCCACTCCGCACTGCCATCAACGGTTATTCGTGAGGTCAGATAGATGTTCATTCGAAGCACCAAGCGACCCGTGCGTCATGACGGTAACCGACCGTTCCAATCCGTGCAGGAAGCTGTCTCGCTGCCTGACGGACGACGACACGCCTTTGCCAGACGACCACGGACAGGTGGACGACAGCCGGCCGTTAGCGCCGTCGTCAGCCACGCGGGATCCCCTCGAAGGCGGTCAGCGCGCGCAGCCCGCTCGTCACGATGACGTTTCAGACTCCGTCAGTGCTTCGCGGGACGTGTCGCGTGCAAATGCCGCCAATTCAGACGTGCCAGGAGTTGTCCAGCCATCGCGAACATCGCCAGCATCGCACAATAGATCGCAAGAGCCGTCGGCTACAGCGTCGCAGCTGAACCAAAGGACTCTGCAATCACCGACGCTGCGAAAGGAGGAACCCCGACGGCTGCAGCAGCAATGGGATTCCCTAGGCGCGAACGCGATCGACAGAGCATGTGATTCTATTGATGACGCAGAGCCGTCTAATGCGGAGGCCGCGCGGCGACGGCGGGAATTGAGACTGCGGGTGGATTCGGAGGGATCGGACGACGACGCAGACGATCTCCGATCGCGCCGCTCCGAGCGATTAGTTCCCGCCTATTCGAAGCGGCAAGGCCACCATGGCGCACGCAGCATGCGCGCGGGGGGAAAACTTAAATGTGGGGAGGATTTATGGCGGGGGAGGCAGGCACAGGAGGCGATTCCGCGGGGGTTCACGTTCAAGGGCTACCTGGCGCAGCCCATGGCAGCGCACGCGGTGGCCGCCCCGTCTGACCCGCCGAGCGAGCGCGAGGCGGCGCAGGCGCGGCCGTTCAACGTGCAGGTGCAGGTGTTCCGGCGGGTGGTGAGCGTGATGCGGCGCGTGCGCATCCCCGTGATCCACCCCTACTCGCGCTTCCGCCGCGACGTCAACCTCCTCATCGCCCTCTGCATCACCTACAACGTCGTCAGTCCCCGCCCGTCTCTCCCGCACGAGTTTTTCTGCACAGGATATCCTGGACAGAGCGTTTCACATTCTGTGTGACATGGGTTGTGACGTGGCGTGGGTGTCGGTGCCGCCCTCGTCCCTTCAATCTCCCATCCCAACCCCGCTCCTTTCTTCCTGAAACCAAGCAACCCCTCCGTCTCCCATCTCCCTCTTTTCCTCTCCACCTTTTCTCCCCCCCGTTGGATGGGGGCGCGCAGTGGGAGGTGTTCTTCCAGGTGGCGTTCAACCTGCGCGCGCAGGGCGCGTGGCAGAAGGGGACGCGTGCCTCTCCGCCGTCTACCTCGCTGACGTCTTCCTTGGCTTCAAAACCGGGTCAGGCGAGGAGGCCGCTGCGCTTCCCCTGTCGCCTTTGCCTTTCTTGCCGGACGCTGCTGGTTTCTTCCCTGTGTTGGCTGCCGTGTTTCGCCACGCAACCTTTTTTCGTGCGCTCATGCGTCGTGCCACGTGGCGTGTGCCGCTCGCAGGTACGTGACGAAGGAGAAGCACGTGGTGATGGACGACGGCATGAAGGTGCTCAAGCCACAGCAGATCGTCATGGATCAGGTGCGGATCGAATACGGATCAGGTAGGCGGGTCACCCACTTGGCTGCATCGTCACATTTCAACCCAACTGCAGCTCACTGGAAATGGGCGACTTGCTGTGCTGCCCGCCATCGCTTGGTCCTCCGTCTCCTCGAAGCAACTTCCTTGCCCCTCCCCATGCTGCTTCTCCCGTTTCTCCACCTCCCAATCATCCCTCCACACTCCTGCTTCCCTCACTGCTCTTCACTCCGCTCCCCCCTCCCTTCCTCCCCCCTCCTCCCCCACTTCCCCCCATGGGCAGCGCAAGGTGGTGTGGCAATACCTGCGCACGTGGTTTGCGTTGGACCTGCTGTCCTCGCTGCCCTTCGACCTCCTCACCTCGCTCGCCTCCGACTCCTCCGCTGGCTTCTGGATCTCCCTCGTGCGTTCCCCACCGCGCTCCCACACGTGCCGCCTGTCTGGCCTGCCCCCCTGCCTGCCCCATTGCTCACTCCACTGCCTGCGTACAGCCCGCATGTGGCCGCACGCATGCCTCTGCTCCGTGCGTCTGTACCCATGCCCACGTGCATTCGCGCATGGCTCATATTCCGCCGTTCACCGCACTGCCCCCTACATGCATGTGTACTCCCCCTGTGTGCGTGTGTGTGTGCGTGCACAGGCGTTCCGGCTGCTGAAGCTGTTCCGAGTGCACCGGCTGGGCGTGGCAGCGAAGCAGCTGAGGCGCGCCTCCGTGAACACCAACTACATGGACGTCGCCATCCTGCTCTTCCAGGTGCCCCGCTGCCCCCATCCGAGAATGCTTTTCTCTCTCAGGCTCTGTAAAACCATTGAGGTCAGAGTTACCAGCTGCTGCTTGGGTGCCAGTGAGCAATCGCCTTCACCAGGGTCACTTCTTCTCCTCTTCCGCACTCTCCCTCTGCCTCCCCATCCCCCCCCCTCAGATCTGCATGCTCTGCCACATAGGCGCTTGCATCTTCGTGCTGATTGGCCGGCTAGAGTTGCCGGACGACTCATGGCTGGCGGCCACCTATTGGAGCGAGGCTGGTGTGGCGCAGACGCTGGAGTCAGCACCTGCTGGCGTGGTCTACGTGGCGGCTATTTATTGGTCCATGGTCACATTTGCTGGGGTGCGTACCCGCATAACCCGCAGTATCCTTCACTGCAGCGCCGTCACGCCAACCCACCTTCACAGCCTTCAATCCCAGCTTAGTTGTTTGCTCATTCCACATGTGCCGGACTGAAACCACGTGCCGCTGCATTCCCTTCGCCCTCTTCTTACATTACATCCCCTGTCCCTCAAGCCAGGTTGGGTACGGGGACATCCACCCAATGAACACGCTAGCAGAGCGCCTGTTCGCAACAGTGTACATACTGCTGACAGCCGTCATGCTGGGGTACACCATTGGCGAGCTCTCCTCCATGGTCTATGCCCGCCGCATGCAGCGCGAATCCATGCGCCAACGCATGACCACCCTCCACAGGTGCGCGCATGGCCGCCCTGCCCTGCACAAGTGCTGCTTCCTTCCCAGCCATCGCAACTTGATTCTCTGCACTTCACTCGCCCTCACTCCTCGCTCGCCCCCTGTGTTCCCTGTTCCCTGCATCCGTGCCCCCCCTCGGGTGCATGCATGTGAGCAGGTTCATCGAGAGGGAGCGCCTGCCAGAGTGGCTCGCCAACCGCATGGTGCGCTCACCTGCCCTCTGCCCCCTCATTCCCACTGCCTCTGTCACAAGCTGTACTATAAGACTGCTGCTTGCTCCTTGCCTCTCGCCCTGCCTCTGCTGGTTATGATCTCTCCTGCTGCTTACTGCCTCTCCACTGCACGGCACCTGCCTATTCATTGCTCCATCTGTGTGCCGTGCCTCTGCCACCCGTTGCCATGGCTCCTCCCTCTGCCAGATGGCGTATCTGATGCGGCAGTGGCAGGCATCAGTGAACAGCAAGTTTGAGGAGCTCGAGCTCATGCAGAGCCTCACTGTCAGTCACGCACACCATCTGCTTCCCACATCTCCTTTCCACCCAACATAAGGAATCCATGTATTTTTGGCTCCTCTTGTCTTGTGCCCTGGTTCCTTCTTGCTCGTTCACTTTCCTCCTCCACTGTATCTCTTACCCCGCACCCCTCTACCCCCGCATGGTCACAGGACGATCTGCGCACGGACCTCTTTGTGCACTGGTGGACGCAACACGTGCCATCCAGGTCCGCTCCCTCCGCTGCTGCCATGTCCTCCTCCTCCTCCTGCTCCATCTATCCCTTGCCACCTTCCCCGTCTCTCCACCTCCTTCCACGTACCACCCTTCCGCACTCCGTTCACTGCCACACCTTTTCACCTCCTCCGCACACATCACATCCTCATGCATCCCCACTTCCACCCTTCCTCCTCCCCCTGTATCCCCACAGCCCCTTCTTCCCGCACGAGCAGCAGTGCCTGGCAACCCTGCAGCGCGTGCTGGTGCCGCACGCGGTGGCAGCGGGGGACGTGGTGGTGCGTGAGGGCGAGGTCAGCCGCCACCTCTACGTGGTGCGCGCCGGCACACTCGAGATGTCGTGGGCTTTGCACGGGGCCGACACTCTCGTGGAGGCTGCCACTGCGCTGCCAGGCAAACCCATGGTAGGCTCAAGGGAGGGGGGGTGTTTTGTTGCCAGCCTCCGGTGATCTTGGGATCCCTTGATTTCTTGCCGTGTGGTGCTGTTTCATCAACAACCGTTGTTGCTTCTCCCTGTGATCTTCCTCTTGTTTCCCAACCCCCCTCGCCCCCTGCCCCTCGCCAGCTGGGCAGTGAGGGCATGAAGCTGGCGAGGGCAGTGAGCATGAGGCGGTGTCGCGTGCGCTCCATGCAGCGCCAGGCCAGCCGCTCCTCCCATGCCAGCCCCACACTGCCACCACTCGGCTCCACACCCGCCGCCACTGCTGTTCACATGCCCAACCCCATGCCAGCCTCGCATGGGAAAGACAGCAGCAATGGCATGGATGATGCAGGCGACATGCATGGTGCTGATGCCTCACCTGTTCATGCGCATGCATGTGACCCGCGCCACGGCGACCATGGCGAGAGCCCTGCCATGGTTGGGTGCTCACCGTGTGTGCGGCGCCCACGTGTGTACGACTCATCGCTCTGCACCATTCCCAGCAGCAGCCTCATGCACAGCGACTCATGCGGGTCAGGGTCCCCGTTGCCTAGCGACAGCATTGAGCCGCTGCGGGAGGGCGCGGAGGACGGATGTGAGGACGGGGCAGGGCAGAGGGGTGCGAGGGGCACAGTGCCGCGGGTGCACAGCACAGCGGCATCGCATGAGAGCCATGGGTCGGTGCGGCATGAGAGCCACCTGCTGGGGCAGGCAGCGTTTGAGAGCAGGACGGTGGGTGTGGGCCATGTGGTGGGGCTGGAGGGGCTCTCTGAGGTGCTCGAACTGCAGACCGGTGAACCCTCGTGGCTCGAGCAACGCGTCCCCTTCCTCTTCATGGAAGGAACCTTCCAGGTATGCCTCTGCTTTGATTCGCTACAGCACCTGTTGCTATATTGATTTTACGCCTGTGCTTTCTTGCGTCCAATCTTTCAAAGAGAGCCCTGCCTTTGGGTGTTGGGATGGGCTGGGCGTGTGGGCAGGCGAAGACAGAGTGCGAGTTGCTGCTGCTGCTAATCGACGACCTCTTTGAGACACTTGAGAGTTTCCCCGAGCTGCTAACAGCGTTGCGCCTGAGCCTGGGCCTACCGCTAACGGAGCAGGAGCAGCTGCTGCGGTATCGCAAGGCGCTCAGCTCGCGCAGGATGAGCACATCCACACATCAAGTCAAGCCTAACCGCAAATAAAAGTACGAAACAATAGATTCTGACAAAGTTGTAGGTACTGCCTAACAGCACCAGGGTACTATAATCACGCAGTGTACAGTTACAGCGGTTGATATATTTATAAAGTATAAATGGTCTAAAGTGACGAAGACATTGAAACGAGGTAGCGGCTCGTCGTCAGTCGGGTTGGCTCGTAAGGGCGTGTAAGATCCCCGTGCACACGTTTTGGCTGAATTTTGTCGACCATTTTGGTCGACAAAGCTTTCGCGAAGGTCGACGGATGAGTCGTCACCAGGCCGACAAATTTTCGGCCACCTCAATGTGGCCTCCAAATATGACACGGATTTGCTGGCCGAAATAACAGATGTGGAAGATTTCGGTTTGTCTTTTTTTCCGACTTAGTACGACGACGTCGCATACATGTATGCGACGTCGCAATTTCACTGTAGCAGCGTATGCGACCTCGTTTTTTTACTGTGGCCAGCTGTTGTCGACAGCATGGCCGATTTGAAGTCGACCACGCGTCGGAAAAGAGTCGACTGGGTTTTTCGGCCATCAAATCACAATTTTGATGGCCGAAATCGACGTAATTCGCAAACCAATCACGAAATGGTTACTTTCGCTACGGCCACCTAATTTTGATGGCCGATTCTGTGTGCACGGGGATCTTACACGCCCTAAGTACCTCCCTCGCTTCATCGCCTCCCCACCCCACCTCACCTCGCGTCAACCCTGCTGCTGCCATGCCACACCTGCCCTACCGCGCTGAAGCCCTTGCCATTCCCGTGCAACACGCTCCCCTGTCGATGTTAGAATCCCGTAGCACTTTTTAGCCTACGGTGCACTAGTCTCGGAGTGCACTCGTAAAACGCCGTTAGGGTTGCAACGAGGATTCCACTAGGGCCATCATCTAAGCGACCGGCTCAGCTGCCGGTCCCAGCGGTAACGCACCGCGATGATGACGTCAGCGCCGGCGTCGATGCTGATAGATACGGCGTCTCACTCGCACACGCACTCTCTCCCTCACTCTCACTCCCACTCTCTCGAGCACACCAACGGCGCCCCCACCCGCGGCAATCGCCCGTGGCGCACCTCGCCGCTCCGCAACGCGGAACACGATGCGGCCACCGCTAACCTCGCGGCACAGCGCCGCCAGTCGCGGCTCGACTTCCAAACGGAGCGCGTCGGCTCGCCAGCGGAGCGGAGCGTGGAAGGCGGGTCGCTAAACCAGCGCATGATGGAGGGGCGCGGCGACGCCATGGACCACTCGAGCGAGCCGCGCCTCGACACCTCCGGCAGCTGCTCGTCGCCGTCGTCCCTCGACGTGCTCCCCGTGTCGCCCCTCCCCGCGTCGGCCATCCCCGTGTCGCCCTTCGACGTGCTCGATCTGCCCGTGCCGGACGGCGGGGAGCGGCCCGACGGGGACGGCATGAGCAGGAGCGGGGCTGATGGGGGACGGGGAACGGCGGAAGGGGAACCGCTGCCGGGCGGCAAGCCGCTGTTCGGGCAGCGGCGGTTGCGCGCGCGGCTGTGGCGGTCCGCGAGAGAGCTGCGCGAGGACGACCCGGGCGACGACGTGGCACTCGCCTTCGCGTTCGACACGCCACCCGCGGCCGCGCCACTCAAGGCGCGCTCGCCCTTCCAATGGGTGATGAAAAGCGCATCTGGCGTGTTCGCGTCACGCGGTGGGGACGACGGCAGCAGCAGCGGCAGCAGCGACAGCGGCGGCAGCGTGCGCAGGACGCCAGGGAAGGAGGGGGCGGCGCGGGCGGCGCTAGAGGAGTATATGAACGTGCCCATGCAGCTTAGACCAGGGCGCTCCGGCGAGAGCGAGCCGCCCAACGCGGAGCAGATGGGCGCGCGGCGGTGGTGGCGCGGAGGGCCGTGCGTGGTGGCGTTCAAGGCGGCGCTGGCGGCGGCGAGGCGCGTGCGCATCCCCATCGTGCACCCGTACTCGCGGTTCCGGCGCGACGTGAACATCATCGTGGGCGCGTGCATCGCCTACAACCTCGTGAGTCGCCCCCTCTGCTGCTCCTTGCTTGCCATGCATTGCTATATGCTCCTCGTGCGTCCTCCTGTGCTCCCACCCACCCAGCACCTCTCCCACTTGGCGTGCGTGCGTCAACCAATACGGACTCCTGTGCGTGTCACACCACGCACTGCATGCCCCTGTCCCTGCCCATGTCCATGCCCATGCCCATGTCCATGCCCATGCTCACACTATGCACGTGTGTGTGGCAGTGGGAGGTGCTGTACATGGTGGCGTTCGACCTGCGGGCCACGGGCGCGTGGCTCATCGTCGACTCGTGCCTCTCCCTCGTCTACTTCGCTGACGTGCTGCTCGGCTTCAAAACCGGGTGCGTCACCCCCACACCACACCACACCATGCACGCCATGGGGGGGGGGGCACACTCGGGTGGGCCATTGGGGTGGAGCAGCAAGTGGCGGGGTTCTTATGGGGCATGGTGTGGGCGTGGAAAGTGGGCGGGGCGGTGGAGAGCAAATGGGGGCGTGGAAAGCAGCTGATTGTGTGAGCAGAGCAGATGGTGCGTCCTTGCACCCCCCGTCACTTTCGCACTTCACTACTCTCCTACCCAACACCCCCCTCCCCCTGCCAAGCCCGCCACATCGACCCGTTTACTCCCTCCTTCCATCCACCACCCCCCTGCACCCATGCCATCCACGCCCTCCCCTCGCCCTCCCCTCGCCCTCCCCTCTCCCTCCCCTCGCCCTCCCCTCGCCCTCCCCTCGCCCTCCCCTCGCCCTCCCCTCGCCCTCTTCTCGCCCTCCCCTCGCCCTCACTTCCCCTGGGCGGCGCTACGGTGGGTGGGGGCGCGCAGGTACCTGACGCGGGAGAAGCACGTGATGGGGGAGGGCGGGGTCAAGATGCTGCTGCCACAGCAGATCGTCATGGACCAGGCAAGCCACACCCGCGCTCTCACCTCGTACCACCTCGTACCACCTCGTACCACCTCGTACCACCTCGTACCACCTCACGCCATCATCTCTCACCAGCTGCGCTGCACCATCCCTTCCATCCACCCACTGCTTGCCTATCCCCGGGCCCACCTCCTTCTTCCCCTCCTCCCCCCATTCCCTCCCCCCCCCACCTCTGGGTGGCAGAGGCGCATAGTGTGGCACTACCTGCGAACATGGTTTGTGGTGGACGTGCTGTCGTCGCTGCCCATCGACCTCATCACCTCCTCCCTCGCCCAGTCCAGCGTTGGCTTCTGGCTCTCCGCCGTCAGTGCCTCCCCTCCCTTTTCTCGACAACCCCCTTGCCCTCCATTATGCCAAGCTTCTCCGCTCCCCTCCCCTCTTCCCTTCCCACCCGCCTCTCTAAATGTCGCATTTTCCTGCATGCTCATTCCTCTGGCCGTCCTTCCCGTCATCGCCCCTCCTGCCCTTCTTCCCTCATTCTCTCCCTTTTGTTCCTTCTTCCCTCTGCCCCTCCTCTTCCGCCCTTCCTCCACCCAACCACTTATCCCGCTGCTCTGCCTCCTCGCCCTCTCTCTCTTCACGCCCTTCCCCTCCCCTTCTCCTCCCCTTCCCCTTCTCCCCCCCCCTCCGCGTCTCCCCCCTTTACCGCCAGCCAGGCGTTGAGGCTGCTGAAGCTGCTGCGGCTGAGGCGGTTGGGGCAGGCGACGCAGCAGCTCAGGCAGTCCGCCCTCGCGGGGCTCTACATGGAGATGACCATTCTCGTGCTGCAGGTGAGATGACCATTCTCGTGCTGCAGGTGAGATGACCATTCTCGTGCTGCAGGTGAGATGACCATTCTCGTGCTGCAGGTGAGATGACCATTCTCGTGCTGCAGGTGAGATGACCATTCTCGTGCTGCAGGTGAGATGACCATTCTCGTGCTGCAGGTGAGATGACCATTCTCGTGCTGCAGGTGGGTGGTGGAACGTTTTAGCATACCACTGTCCACCCCAGCACCATCACATCCATCACCCACACCTTTCATGCTCCCACACCCCTTGCCTTGCTGCCATGCCCCTCTCAACCCCCTCTTCCTCCGCCCCTTCTCACCCCAAATCCTTCCCTTTTCCCCACAATCCACCTGCTTCCACCCACTCTGCTCCTCTGGCAGATCTGCATGGTGTGCCACGTGGGAGCGTGTGCCTTTGCGCTCATTGGTCGCCTCGAGTCGCCCCCCGAGACGTGGCTAGCGGCGTTCAGCTGGAGCAACGGGGGCAGCCAGGAGACGCTGGAGAGTGCACCGCACGGGGTGGTGTATGCCGCAGCCTACTACTGGGCCATGGTCACCTTCGCCTCTGTAAGCCCCCACCCGCCCTCCAAGCCCCTCCCCTCTCTTCTCCTCTCTCTTGAAATCTGCCTCTTCCTGCCTGCTGCTGCCCTGTTCTCTCTGCACCTCGCCTTTGAACCCCCTGCCTACCGACCTCGCCTGCAATCCACACGTCCCACCCTCCCCCCTCACATCCTCCCACACCCCCCCACCCATTCCACCTCCCCTCCACTACCACTCCGTGCCTGTCTCCCTCCCGCCTCCCTTCCTAACCTCCTGCCATTATGCACGTGCGCGCTGTGCTCTCTGCATTAATACCTTCTCCTCCTTGTCTGTTCCATCATCCTCTCCCCCCCTCTCTGCTGTGCATGCATCATCACCCCTACCAGGTGGGATACGGGGACATCCACCCAGTGGACACACTGGCAGAGCGCCTGTTCACAGCGGGGGTACATGCCCCTTTCCACTCCCCCTCCCCGCCCCCCTCCCCACGCACCAGGTGGGGTACGGGGACATCCACCCAGTGGACACGCTAGCAGAGCGGCTGTTCGCGACGGGGTACATCCTGGTGACGTCCATCCTGCTGGGCTACGCCATCGGCCAGATCTCCTCGCTCATCTACTCCACCCGCGCCCGCCGCGAGTCCGTGCGCCAGCGCTGCAACACGCTGCACAGGTGCCACCCCCCCGCCACTGCCTTCCCCTCTCCTATGCGCTTTCCCACTGTTTGCTCCGTGGGCTATCAGTTGAACCACTACTGCAACCTTGTGCCACCTCACCGATCTGATTGTGCCACCTCACCGATCTGATTGTGCCACCTCGCCGATCTGATTGTGCCACCTCACCGATCTGATTGTGCCACCTCACCGATCTGATTGTGCCACCTCACCGATCTGATTGTGCCACCTCACCGATCTGATCGCGTCACCTCACCGATCTGATCGCGTCACCTCCTGCTCCTCATCGCCTGGCGTGGGTGCTGGCAGGTTTATAGAGAAGGAGGAGATCCCCGAGTGGCTCGCCAACCGAATGGTACTCTCTGCCCTCTGCTCTCTGCTCTCTGCTCTCTGCTCTCTGCTCTCTGCTCTCTGCTCTGCCTGACACAACACATTGCCACCCTTTTTTTCCGCGTCTCCTGCTGTTCCTCCTCTCCTGCTCTTCCTATCTACACATCCCCGCACAATCATTGTGCGCCTCGAGGCATCCCCGTGACCCACCCGTGTGTGTCGGGCAGATGGTGAGCCTCACGGGCAAGTGGCAGTCGGAGCTGTCGCAGCGCTTCCACGAGGGCGACCTCGTCGACGCCCTCTCGGTCAGTCCCGCCCCACTCGCACTCTGCCCTGCTCTTCAACCTTCACCCTCTTCCCTCGCTTTCCACTCCGCACAGTTTCTCACGCCCTTGTCTCCCCCCTCTGCACCGTCCGCGTGTGCTGATTTCAGGACGACCTGAGGGCGGACCTCTTTGTGCACTGGTGGCAGCGCCACGTGCTCCCCAGGTGAGCCTCTCACTGGTGGCAGCGCCACGTGCTTCCCAGGTGAGCCTCTCACTGGTGGCAGCGCCACGTGCTCCCCAGGTGAGCCTCTCACTGCTGGCAGCGCCACGTGCTCCCCAGGTCAGCGCTGCCCTACCACCGTCACTGGCACCCCTCACATGCAACTGCTTTCGTAGGAGCTTTTCAAAGAGATGCTTTGGGCCTCACCAATGGCACCCCTCCCCCTCCCCCTCTCCCCCCGGCAGCCCCATGCTACCGCACAACCATTCGTTCCTGGCGCACGTGTTTCCGTGCCTCATTCTGCGGCGCGTGGCGCCAGCAGACGTGGTAGCGAGCGAGGGCGAGTTCACGCGGCACCTCTACATCGTGCGCTCCGGCACCCTCGACGTCACCCGTCTCAAGGATGCCCCCCCGCCCGCCCTCACGCTCACTCATGCTGCTGCTCAGGTGGCGGGCTGTGAAGCTGACGTGGATGGGCGTGCGGCGGAGGGGAAGGGCGGTGCGGAGGAGGTGCAGCTGCCAGCCGTGCGTCGTGCCGCCCACTCCGTTCCTTGGTCGTTTGGGCACACTAAATAAAATATATAAAATAACGACTGATTTTCTCCCTGTCACACACTTCTCTGTTTCTGCGCCTGCATGTGCTCCATCCACCCGGCACCTTCGCTTCAACCTGCTACTATCCTCTCCCTTCCCTCCCCGTGGGCTCCCCTCTGCCTGTCGTCCTGCCACCGGCCAGGAGGTGGCGAGGGTGCTGCAGGAGCATGCAGGGGCGCTGGCGGGCGGAAGAAGCGGGTCGCTGGGAGGGTTGCTGGGCGCAGCAGGAGCAGGAGCAGGAGCAGGGGTGGGGGGGTTGGGGGCAGGGGTGGGGGTGCAGAGGCGCGCGATACAAAAATCGCTGGGAGTCCCGGAGGTGGTGCCGGCAGTGGCGGGGGCGGTGGCGTACGAGAAGGAGAGTGTGGGCGAGGGGTATGTGGCGGGCACGGAGGGGCTCAAGGCGGCGCTGGAGATGCGGCGGGGCGAGGAGGAGTGGAGCAGCCAGCGCGTGTCAGTGATCTGCATGGACGCCTCCTTCCAGGTGCGTCATCTGCATGGACGCCTCCTTCCAGGTGCGTCATCTGCATGGACGCCTCCTTCCAGGTGCGTCATCTGCATGCACGCCTCCTTCCAGGTGCGTCATCTGCATGCACGCCTCCTTCCAGGTGCGTCATCTGCATGGACGCCTCCTTCCAGGTGCCCCGTGTCCCACCGCCCGTAGTACTCCCTGCCATGCCCGCACACGCTACTCTCCTCCGTGCTTCCCTCGCTGCCCCTGCTACACAGCACACACCCCTCAACTTCAGCTCCCCTCCCCTCCCCTCTCCCCCCAGCAGGCGAAGACGGAGTGCGAGGTGTACCTGCTGCTGCTGGACGACCTGTTTGATGCCCTCGAGAGCTTCCCCGAGCTGCTCACCGCCATGCGCACCGCCCTGGGGCTGCCCCTGGCGCCTGATGAGTACCTGGCGCGGCCGCGCGTCATGGCGTCACACCGCAGCTTCAAGGGGCTCAACAGGACCAAGAGCAACGCGCGCCCCACGGCCTTCAGTGCCGACAGCAGCAGCAACAAGACGCTGTCGTTTGGCAAGGGGCGCGTGCTGAGGGTTGGCAGCAGCACCATGCTCCAATCATTCAAAGGATGACGCTTCACACACACCCAGCTCCGGCAATGAAAGTGTGCATAAAATGAATGTTTCAGCTTGTCAATTGCAAGTTGGACCCAGTTGTTAGAATGTCCAATCAGGAAATCACTGCTTTCTTAGTAAGCAGCTGGCCTAGGTGTCGATTTTGAAGATGACAGTGTTAAGCTCTGCTTTGATTAGGAGCTGGTATATAATTACAGAAGATAAAGACGCTAAATGTGTATTCCACTGTATGCACAAGACGACCACAAGCCCATCTTTCCACACAAGTGACCAGCTAGGGAGCAGCAGCAGCAGTGAGGCCATGGCGGGCCACCACTCTCCTGACAGCAGCAGCAGCAGCCTCACTGGCAGCCAGGCCGCCCGCTGCCATGAGCGCTGAAAACTCCTGCCTGATCTCCGCATGCACTGCCTCCTTTGCCCGCGCCTCTGCACTGCCTGCTGCTGCTGATGATGCTGCCGTTGCTGCTCCTGCTGACGCTGATGCTGATGCTGCTGGTGCTGCTGCGGTTGAGGATACTGCCGCTGCTCCTGGTGTTGACATTCCTCCTGCTGCATCTGATCGCCCTGACTGCCTTTTCTCTCCAATCTGTCTCGCATCCGCGCTACCATCACCATGGCTCCCACGACCGACTGCTGCTGCTCCTGCTGCTGCTGCTGCTGTAGCAGCACCTACTGCTGGCAACGCGCTGCTTGAATTCAAGGCAGCGTCTGGCGCAGTGGGTGCGGGAACAGAGGCGGGTGGAGGGTGTAGCAGCTGCGCAGGAATGCTGTAGCTGGGGGACGCGCTGATGGGGGAGGGCGCGGGGAAGGGCGCATGAGGCGCGGCGCCGTACTTGAGAGTGGTCTCCAGCTGCTGCAGCAGCGGCGCTGCGGGGAGAGCAATGCAAGCAGGAAGAGCAGAATGGGGATGGGGATGGGAGAATCCAGGCGGGCAGGGTGTGAGTACAACGGTGGACGCACAAGGGCATAACATCAACACCACGGGACGGAAAGGACGAATCAGGAGGGGGTGTGGGCGAGAGCGAGGCAGCAGCGACGTACCGAGCAGGGCGCCCTGCGGGCTGCTGAGGACGTGGCGGGGGAGGTCGAGGATGCGCGTGGGGATGCCGCGGCCCAGCAGGAAGTGCGCGACCTCGTCGCTGAAGTGGTTGCAGTTGTGCGACAGCAGGCTGTAGCGCTGCGGGCTGTAGTTGGCGCTGATGTCCGCCAGGAATTGCTCGAAGAGGTCGCGCGGGATCTCCGTGCACCCCAGTCGGATCGCCTCCATGGGCGGCCCGAAGTCGGTGCGGCCGGGCACGCCGCGTTGGATGCCGGCGCCGAACCAGTACTCCGTGCCGTACGCCACGACGCCCGTGTGGTACACCGCGTCGATCGCCGTCCCCAGTAACGTCTGCGACAGCTGCCGCGCCAAGCCGTGCGAGAGATCGTAGACGTGCAGCACGACGGAATGACTGCTAGCCTGCGACACGGAGAGTGCACGACGTCGTTAAATTCGGATGATTGGTGACCCTCGTAAAAATCAAATCAAGAGAGCCCACAACTCGACGACTCACCTCCTCCATTTCTCGGTGTGTAACGTCAGCCGATCGATAAGATTTGTAAAAGCTCAAGAGTTAGCGCAACGTAATGGTTAAATGACGGATCAACACAGGGGATTGCGTCAAGCTAACGAAAACGCAAGCCAAAGAATAGAGAGGATTTGGAGGATGGCAGTGTGGTGCAAGCAGGGACAAACCGCAGCTAAAAAGGGAGGATCAAGGGGGAGGGGGCGGGCGAGGCAAGCGCGTAAGAAGTGACAACTGGCGAACCTCGAAAGTTCCACATTCATCGTGAAGCCTACTGAGAACTCCCTCACCGATAAGGGGAAATCCGTTAAAAACCGATTATGCAACACCATTGCGGAATTTAAAAGAACACCATAAGTTATAACAAGATATATAGAGGTAATGAAATCAAGCGACATGTTTAACCAGAATTTCATATGCATATGCTTTGCATACTTGTTGATAACATTGTTAACATGGAAAATCGACTTGGGCTTGCTTTATTACTCGTCCAAAAAATTGGGATGCTTAGAATAAGGCATGTCATTATGTGGGATGTAGCTACTACCAGGTTCATGGGAGATCTATTTCTATAGTAGTATACTGGTGAAACTGTATATGTTTTTCACTGTAATCCTTTCAACAATTCCCACACTTTGCGGGACACATTATCTCTTCTGAAGAGCCCAGCGGAATTCGGTCGACGGAGCCGAATTGCCAGGGTCGACGAGGGGGGTCGACGGAAGGGGGTCCGACGAGGCGGGCGACTGACGCGCGTGCGGGCCCGCCAGCCTGGCCCAGGGCTGGGCCGAGCGCACGACCGCCGCCCCGCAAACCCCCCCCCCCCGGGAAGTGAACGGCGACCCACGTTACCGGGTGGGGGCGGCGAGCTGGCGAGACCTCGCGCGAGGGAAAGTAACCCCGGCGCGAAGGCAGCCCACCCGTCCCTCCTGCCCGCGAGGTCCTAGTAACCCATCGCGGCCTGCCCGTACGGGCAGGCGAGGCCCGTGCGAAATTCGGGGGCTCCCCTCGGGACGCTCGGCGATTTCGCGACCCGTTGCGGTGACGCCACGTGCCCTCCCGTCGTTTCGCATCGTTATTTCTATGCATGCGACATTTCGTACCCGCCGAAAATCGAGCGAAGTCCTGGGTCTCTCGCACCAAGGCGCACGGTTTTCGCGACCCGCTGCGAAATCGACACGTGGTGCCGAAACGTCGCACCGCGTGCATGCGAATTTGCGTCCCCTGGCCGACCGAGGCCAGGGGACGTGACGTCGACCTGCTGGCTCGGCGGCGAGGGTGCACTTGTGCCACGCCACCCGTGCACGAGCCCTGCCGAGCCAGGGACCACGGCCCCCTGGGCGACGCTCAACCGGGCCTGCGAGGCTCCGCCTGGCTTTTCTTCGTTGGAGGTGGGCTGTCCCTTCATTTTCGCGTTCTCGTTTCTCTTTCATGTTCTTTTCCCACCTCTGCGCCTTCCATTCTCCCACCGTTTCTTCCCTTAGCCCGTAGCATAGCATCCTCGCTCTCCCGCCATGGCGGCCGACCAGAAAGCCGACGAAGCGACGCCGACCTCGCGCGACTTCCCCCTGTATCTAAGCGTCGGTAGAGGACTCACATCCAAGTTCGAGGAACACGACTACGCCGTTCTGACAAACCCTATGCTAGAGTTTAACGCCCGTTGCTTGGGACTCGGCCTCAAGTGAGTGACGTATGGGGATGTCGGCGTCGTTATTTCATGCTGGTGATAGCCCTAGCGTGGTTTCATAATACCCGTCTTTTAGGTCGACGGACTCATGGGTTAGGGATCACATCGATGGCGCCGACGTAAGGTGTCTGGTCGGCGTAGGCGATGCGTTGTGCCATATTCATTCGGCTCTCGTCGAATCCCCGACCCGTCGTGTTATTGCCGCAACCGTAGTATCTGCCGGCGTCCCGACCACATCCTCACGCACTCCTCCTGATCATGCATGCGTGCAGGCACGCATGGTTGCGCGGAACGGAGGAGGACCAGCGGCTGTGGTCGATAGGAGTCGGCCGTCTTAGGGCGGCGATGGGTCAGAACGACCATACCGTCTTCGCGAAGGTTTTTGACGCCGACGTGGCGGTTATCCCACTGATATCGAGGTGAGGGTGTTCGGGGTCGTCGCGCGTGTGGTGCAACCTGCGTCGATTATGTGTTCTGATCTATGTCGACGTCCATTGTCTGTGCAGCATCGCACCGCTTCCGGGAACACATTGCAGCGTCATTATCATCCTGTGCCCCGGCGACTTGTTGAAGGCATCGGGCCAGTTGATCAGGACCTCGATCCGGCACGCCGACCCGCAGACTGTGAAGGAGTGGCACATCAAAGAGGCGAAACGCGTGCTGGAGTGAGCTCAATAGTGTAGTCGACGCCGCTTGCGTTGTCAATGCGGAGCGTGCACCGTGCTAACTGACCGTCTGTGCCATGCTTTGCAGGTTTTTCCGGGCGGCTGTAATGGCCGAGCTTCGGCGCGAAGGTAGGAAATGGGACTGGGCGAAGCCGTCCGAGGAGGAGGTGCATGCGAGGCTCGCCGACTGCGACGAACCCCTTCGAGATGTGAGTTTCGTACGTTTGGTGTCAATTCCTTGCGCGATGCAACTGCCGTTCGTCCTTGCGAGATGCGACTGCCGATCTCGGTGCTCATATCAGCGCTCTCCTGTGTTGTGTGCAGAAAGTGCCCGACACCGTCCGGGACGGGGACGCGGGCTCCGGCCTGCTAGCAATGAGCGCGTTGCTCTGGGCGGTGAGGCGGAAGGATCGGTTGGCCGGCGCCCTCCGTCGCAGTGCCACCAGCATGGACAAGGTCGCTGTTGCGGGGTTGAAGGGGCTGCGGACTGAGATGGTAGCCGCTCATACGGTCGGGCCGAAACGTAGTTGCGGCCGACGTCTGTGACGACGACGGCGAGGAGGTTCAGTCGGCGCCCCAAGCTGGCGGTGTCGCCCCTGCCGTCGCTGATGCGCGTGGCACCTCGGTCGGGAAGCCGGGTAGCGGCGTCGACGAGGCCGATGCGGCAGCAGGACATGGGGTGGCCGGGACCGAGGAGAAGCACCGGGACGAGGTTGTTCATGGGGATGATGATGGGGTCCAGGGTCGTGAGGCGGATCGTGAGGATGAGGGGGGCTCGGAGGAGTCGGAGTCGGAGTCGGTGTCGGAGTCGGTGGAGGAGCAGGAGCAGCAGGAGCAGAAGAAGCAGGAGCACGAGAGGCAGCACCACGAGCAGCAAGAGGAGCAGCATGACGAAGAGGTGGACGTGGAAATGGCGGAGGGGAACGTTGCAGAAGGAGCGGCGGAAACGGGTGGGAGATCGGCGGAAATCGAAGGAGAGGGGAAGGGGGCGACAGCGGAACCCAGCAAGGAGGTCGGCGAGGAGGCGGCTCACGGGGGGAGTGGGATGGTCGTTGTCGGCGAAGGGTTTAGGGAAGTTGTCGACCTCGAGGCCGACGAAGATGGGGATTTCGCCGCGGCGACGAAGCAGACGGGCGTGGAAATGCATACCGATGCTACCGCAGAGAAGGCCGGGGGGGAGCGGTCCAGGAAAAAGAAGGCGGTGAGCGGTCATCCAAGTTCCACCGCAGTTGGTCGGCAGGCGATGCCGGACGTCGTCGAGCAGCTGCGTGCGGAGAACCGACAATTGCGTGCCGACAATGCACGCTTGCAACGGCAGCTCGGTGATCAGGCGGGGCGGGTCGACTGCTTGGCGGCGGCGGTAGCTGGGATCCTCGACAAGCTCACGGCATTGACCGCCCAGGTTGCGGACACCGACCGGAAATCGGTGGAGCGCCTCAAAGAGGCCACGTCGACCATGGCGGCCACAATCACCGAGGACCTCACCAGCAACCTGGAGAACGCAGTTGAATCGGGCAAGAGGTTTGCCGAGCTAGCGAGGCAGATGCTGCTGGATATTGACGCCCCCAACGGACGAATGGCGGTCGCTCGAGCGACCGCGGTGGACCAATTGGCCGACCACGTGACGGGTGAGGTGGGTGAGGCGAGGAAGGCTTTGGAGGAGACGTTCATAAAATACATCGGCGCCGCGCAGACCAACATTGCAGCCGCCGTGTCTCCCCGGCTCGACGTGCAGCCGCCGCCGCCGACCACCCCAGCGCAGGCCTTGCCGGAAGAGTTCCTGAATTCATTCAAGGAGGATCTGCTGAAGGCGGTGACGGAGGTCACGCAGCAGTCTTTCCTCGCCTCCGGTTTGAAGATAATGACCGAGATGGTCGGCACTGTGGCGACCCAAGCTCGGCGTGGGTCGTCGCCGTCGGCCAACGACGCCGGCCATGCGCAACCTATGGAGGCCACGAAGCAGGGTCTGAAGAGGGGGGCAGGCGGCGGGGGGGGCGACGGAGACGACGCGGGGAGCACGAAGCGGAGCAAGGGAGCGGGGGGTTCTCGCGTCACCGGCGACGGTAGCAAGAAGGCCGGAGAAGGAGGGGGGGGGGGGGACGGAGACGATTCGGCGAGCGCGAGGCAGACCAAGGGAGCGGTTGGTTCTCGCGTCGCCGCTGGGCTGGGGTTCGAGCGGCCAGCACTGATCAGGGTGGTGGGGGTCCCGCCGACGAGCATGCCACTGATGACGCACTGCCAAGGGCTCCGCCTTCGGTCGCCGATAAGCCACCACGACAGGGTAGCGGTGAAGAAGGGCTGCGCGACAAGGAGAAGGCGGCCGCAAAAACGGCCCCAGCTGGCCAGGGCCCGAAGACAGGGGTCGCGGTGGCGTCAGCGGTTCCTCACCAGCCCCCAGCTGGTGCACGCCCTCCGACCGGACCGTCTGCCGGGCGACCTGCCGACGTCCCGCGCTCTGCCGACGTCCCGGCTGCCGACAAGGCTGGCCGCGCGGGGAAAGGGGCGGCAGTTGCGGACGCGCTCAAGGAGCAGCTCAGGCGCCTAGCCGGCCACAAGGCTGTTCAACAGCCCCCCGCTGCTGTCGACGCCCCATCTGCCAGTGTCCCAAAGTCGCCGGTCGTCGCCGCCCGTGCTCCTGCAGACCCAAAGTCCGCGTTGCTGCGCGCCCAGCTGGGCGCACTAGCGTCGACTGCGCCAACTCAGCAGGCTTCTGGCTCCGGCGCTAAGACGTCGTCGGCAAAAGTCGCACCACCCACCCCTGTGGCAGCTGAGGTTGAGAAGGCGGCGGAGAAGGGCGTTCGTGCCGCCCTTGCCACCGGCGGCGGCCCCGTCGAGCAGGCGCCCCCCGATGCTGATATCGCTGCCATACAGGCCCACCTGGATGCTGCCAATCCCCGACCGCTGGCCATCTCCGACACGGCACATGTGGAGCCTTCGGCGGGTCTCGTCGGCAGTCCAGCAGAGCCGACTGCGACCGGTGATGCTGTCGGCGATGGAAAGGCGAAACGGAAGGGGAAGGCGGGCTCACAGAGGAAGACGCGGGAGAAGTCGGAGGCGAAGGCGGCGGATAGAGGGAAGGGGAAGGCGGCTGAGACGGCGGCTGACAAGGATGGAGGCGGCAATACGGGGGTGAAAGGGAAAGCGGGGGAGAATCAGAAGTCGCTCGGCGAGGGTACGTCGACGGGGAGGAAGGGGAAGGACAAGTCGGTAGGAGAAGGTGCGTCGACGGGGAGAAAGGGGAAGGAGAAGGCGGTCGGCGATGGTTCGTCGAAAGGGAGAAAGGGAAAGCGGAAGGCGGCGGAGGAGGATGTCGAGGAGGTGGAGGACGTCGAGCAGGAGGAAGAAGAAGAGGCGGAGGAGGAGGTGGAGGAGGCGGATGAGGACGATGAGGAGGAGGAGGTCGAGGTGGAGGAGGAGGAGGAGGAGGAGGAGCAGGGGGAAGAGCAAGGAGAGGCGGGGTCATGGCATCCGACACGATACCTCGGGCGACAAGCTAGGATGGGTCGGCGAGATTAAGGTGCACGGCATCAATCGATACATCGGCAAGTCGCGTGAGAAGATGGAGCTCGCGTACGTGCACTCCATCGCGTTCGTCGTCTACGACGGTTTCGTGAGCAAGGTGCTCATGAACGAGCTCACCGTCCTGGACAGCGCCGAGTTGGAGAGGTGGAAGGAGGTGTGGGAGGAGGTCAGGATCTTGCCGACCGGGATGTGGACGGTGATGTGGGCCCGGGGAACGCTCCTTCCAAAGACACGGTAAGTCGGCAATCCTCCTACCCAAAGTCGATGTCGTTGTGGTGGTCACTAATGTTCGCCCTGTTTGTTGTGCTGGCGTGACAGGCTGAATGAGATCCTCGACAAGTATCGACATTACAAGACCACTGGCGATGCGCTGCACGCCGCGCTCCTGCCAGCGATATGGTACCCAGTCGATCCCGACACCGAGGAAGGCCGAGAGAAGTCGGCGTCCATGCTGTCCGCGTTGATTGGCCGCGTGTCAATGTGCGCTGCGTATGGGAAGACCGCTGCGACAGCGGCGAGAAAGGAGGGAGACAGCGACGAGAAGACGGATATGGCGGCATGGGCGTTAGGAGCATCCGCATGCGCTGTGTGGTGCTTCGTCGAGAACGGCGATGCCCAGGTGGAGGATGCTGTGGAAGAAGGGAAGGCGGCGGCGCTTGTGGGCGGAGCGAGCCAGGCGACCGCCGATGTATTCGGCAAAGTCATGGAGGCGGTGCTGAACGCCGAGATCAACAGGGACCGCCCCCTGGGAGAGGTTGCTTACAACGTCGCGCCAGCACTCAAGAGGACCGCCCTTGACATGGCCTATCCGGGGGTGGATGCCGGAGTCGATGCCGACGTGATCGCAAGAGCGACGGTCGAGACGATGGCGTTCTGGGGAATGTGCCCCGTCGCCGGGCCGAAACTCAAAGCGAGGGGCATCGCGGTGCCGATTGACGCGCAGATGAAGGCCGATATCGACAACAGGGGGAGAAAGGGTCAGAGGGGCAAGAAGGCGACGAAGGCCAAGGGCGGCACGGAGAAGAAGGGGACGAAGGGCCAGAAGGCGAAGGAGTCGGCGTAGTCGGGGAGGGGCATATGTAGCGCTATGCCTACTGCTAGCTTGGATTCATTGTTGCTTGGATTTGATGCTGCTATGGTCGATCTCGTTTTGTGTGTTTCGGCTGTCGGACCCCTTTGATGCTGGTTTTTTGCGTTTCCTTGTGTGAGTGCATGTCGACTTTATGTAGGATGTGTAATGAACATTTGAACCAGTATCTTGTCACATCACGAAGGATACCAGGCCGACACGTGACTAACTATGTTAGAACTACCACATGAGCATTGTGAGAAACTCAAAGTCGACAACTGTATAAGTACGAAACACATGCATGCTGTAACAACATCATCTACAACATGCAACAGCCCACAATCGCATGTTGCTTGTGAGCATTCACGCGGTCTTCTTGCGCTTGGTCGGAGGCAGCTTCCCGGCGTCGTTTTCGCGGGCCAGGTCGGCCAACGCCTTCTTCATCCCCTCCTCCCATGTGTCCGGGAAAAGGTCGGCGACAAACTTCTCCGGCTTGAACCCGCGCGCCACGAGCGCACTGGCGAGACGAAGCTTGGCAAATTCCGTCTTGCCGAGCCCCTTGACGCCCTTACCCTGCCCGGCATAGGTCGGTTTGTTGCCCGCGTTGAGCACCGTGAGGGCATCCGAGAAGGTCCCAATGCCAGGCGCCGCTATCGTGTTAAGCGCGTCGACGACGGCTTCGGTGTCGGCTTCGCCGTCGCTCTTGCGAAGCTGGCGCACGGCATCGATTACCTTCATCATGCGGCGCACCCTCGTCCCGTGTGCTCCCTGCGAGGCTCCGTCGAGGAGGGTGTGGCGGTCGACGAATCCCGGCTCGAAGAACCTGTCGCACAGACGACGGGTGTCGGCGCTGGTGCACGAGGTCCAGAGGCGCCACGCGTCCCTCACGGTCGTTGCATTCCGCCAAGGCTGAACCACGTTCAGCTCGTAGCTAGCCTCCTCGACCGTCTGTGGGGGTTTTTTGGGTTTCTTGGCTCCGTCACCCCTGCTTGCCGACTCCGCGGAGCCACCGTCGCTCGGCGATTGTTCGTTCGCAGCTGGCGGCGCCTCCGGCATCCTACGAGCTTCTGAAACGCGGAGAGCCTCGGTGAGGCGGGTTATCTCGTCCGTCATCGACGCGATGGTAGCGTCGCGCTGCTCGAGCTTCTCCTCGAGGTCGATCTTCTCGACCGCTGACCGCTCCCTCTCGAGCTTCAGCGTCGTTGTGAGGGAGACGACCGCGTACTGGGCGTCATGGCGGACCGATATCTCCTGCAATGTAGGCGAAAAACGGTGCAGGTGAGGTGTTGTCATCGGGCACAGTGCTCATGGCGATGTCGACATAAAGATGACTCACCTCTGGCTGGATGAGGGTTGGGTCTTGCCGCTTTTTGATGGTCTCGGTGTCGGTCTTCTCCACCCTCTTCGCCCAGTGCTGGAAGAGGGGAATCCGGCAGAGCTTGGAATACTGGACGTACGGGTGCCAAGGCGTGCGGACGAGTTTCACAGCGAGGTCCTCGGCGACAATGCGGCGGAACATCTGGAGGGTGCGCCAGAAATGCACGGCAGCAACGTCGGCGTCGGACCCCTTCTTCGCGAGTTCTTCCGCCTGCAATTAGACAACAGACGTGGGTAATTACCGTGGTTGAAAGTACAGTGCCATGCGATGCTTGGTCGGTACCGATCGACATACATTCTTAAGGAGCTCGTCGACGCCGGGGAAGATGTGCTCGGCGATGAGCTTGAGAAGCTCGTCCGACGGTTCCACCCTGCTGCGCCCCAAGAAGTAGTCCTGCGTGTAGCCCGAATAGCCGGCCTTCTTCATCACCACGCCGACGGGAATGGCTGTGATGTAGGCTCGAGTCATCTTGTCGAGAGCCCAGTGACCCAGCTCGGCTATCTCGGCGCGAGGCGTACCGTTGATGGCCAGCTCCTGCGCCCCGCCTGCCCGAGCGGCATGGACGTTCCGCTTGCAGAACACCCCGTTCGTCTTCCACATCTGCCTCGTCCATCGCTGGTGGCTGGCAGCGGAGAGTTCGCCCTGCTCGGGGTCGTTGCGGGCGAAGAACAGGTGCTTCTTGTACCAGCGCTCGCGTGTGCTGGTGTCGACCGGCGGAATGAGGTCGACGCCGTGAAACTGGCCGATCTGGTCGAGGATGAAGTGTAGCCACAGTCCGGTCTCGCCGACGGCGCACAATTCCGCTTCGAGGTGCCGCGCGGCGTAGCTCTGCTGAAGACGCGCATCCTTCGACGTCTTCGAGTTCCGCGCGGCGACCACCATGACGACCGGCTGGTTATCCGGGTTTACCGACGAGGTGCTCGCCAGTCGGTACAAGAAGATGTCGGGGAGCGTGATCTCGCGGATGCTTGCACCGCGCATGAGGCTGTGGTGGGAGAGCAGCGTGAGCACCTTGACGAGAAGGAACCTCCACAGCGTCTGCGAGGGAGTGGTGAAATGCGGGCTCCATGCCGACGCCGCCCAAGCCGGCAGCACCCTCGTCATGATCTGGCGGAACTGTTCGGCGGTGTATGTGTCGCCGATGGTGCCGCGTCGACGGTCGGCGCAATTACTGTCGACAGAACAATACGGCGGTAGGATTATTAGGGCGATGGGAACAAATCGTCACCGACTAGAAAACGGCGCTGGATGCCAACTTACTTGATGTCCCTCTGGTTTTTGGTGCGGACCATGACCCGCACCTCCGACCGGACAACCGAGATTTCTCGCATGATGCCCAACTCCTTCTCCTTGTACAGCGTCGCTTCCACCCTCGCCGCCATCTGGCATGCCTTGATGCGGCCGAGGATCATGTGCACCGTGTAGGACGGCACCGGCGCGTTCGTCTCGGCGTCGATCTTGAACTCCCGCCTCATGAACTTGACGTAGGCGCGCAGCCGCGTCGGAGTGACCTTGGGGCCGTGCAGCCAGATGTGCTTCCGTTTGACCACCTTCGGGTTGTCCCAATCCTTGCTCTTGTTGCAGTGGATCCAGTGCCCGATCTCGTCGACGTGCCTAGTTCGTTCCCCGATCGGCAGCTTGTCGCCTATCTCTTTGAGCATCTTCGCGGCCCACCTCTTGTAGTGGTAGATCCATGAGATGTAGGACTGGAGCGTGCTCTTAGCCTCGATGGTTTTCAGGTGGCGCAATGCCTCCATCACGAGCACGTCGACGCACGCGTACACCATATCTTCCTCTACGAAGTCGGCCGCCTTCCACTGTTCTCGAGGGACAGACGCGTTCAGCAGATCCTCTAGCTCGTCCTCGTCCAGAAGTTCCTCAATCAGCGCACGTTCCGACCTGAGCTTTTCTTCCAACGTCTTCGGACCTCTGCCACGTTGGGGCCGCGGGTCGGCGTCGTCGTCCTCGTCGCTCGCCGAGGAATAGTCTTCCATTCCCTCATCCTGGTCGCCCGCTCCGTCCGGCACCGACGACGGCCTGGCCTCCTCTGCATTTGTGGGCGCCGACGTGTCTTTGCGTGGTTTCGTGAACTCCCCTATGGGCGCGGGTGGAACGTCCTTGGTGAACTCTCCCTTCGGGATTTGGGCCAGGGCGTCGAGATCGTAAAGCAGGGGCAGCGTCGACGAGGGGTTACTGTTCGGTGTACGATCTACCGGGCGGACATCCTCACCCTGGCTAGCGGGGTTCGGAACGTCCGTCATGTCGACGTCGGCGGGTGGTGGCTGCGGTTGCGGCGGTGTCGAGCGAGGCTGTGCTCCGGCCATGATACCGCGACCTAGGGTCTCGCGATGGGAAGTCGGTGTGGTGAGGTCGGTGAAATGAAACATGGCGATTCTAAGTCGGCGGTATCTGACAGGTCGGCATCGCAGACAACACTACGAGACGGCGGCCCCGACGTCTGACTATTCTGACGACGCCGACGTTCCACGTCTGCCGACAATCTCCCGATGGAAAAAAAACTAAGGGCGAGCCGTCAAGGGAACGGGGAAAAAATCTAAGTGCCAGCTAACGGATGAAAAGCACAGAGAACGGCAGGCAGAATGAGCGACCTGCAATTGGACCCCAGATTGGTATGGTCGTGAGCGACTCCGCTCCACTTGGCGCTCCACGCAAACCCCTGTGCAGGACGCAGCTATGCATGTACGCTCGTGCGGCGGCGCCGTGACCGACGTGCCACCGGGCGTGCATGCTTGAAGCGCTTCGCTCATAATGCGCCTTTCATGGGTGTTACACGCTGGCTCTGTGGTGCGGTACGTGGCGTGGTCCCAGCGCGGTAGTTCGAGGGCGGGAGACACTGCCGCGTGGCACCACGATGAAGACCTTCTGGTCGACGCCGACATTCCCGCCAGTATCCACTGCACCTAGCCAGAGGTAGTGGACGGTCGGATTTCGCCTTGGGCATGTGGGCAACCGTTGGATGATGGCCGTGTGGTACGCACCGACCTGGCAACGCTTGGGCGCGAAGTTTTCCCACGCGAAGCACCCCCACCTTCCGTTGGCCCGTCGTGGCCACCCTGGCTGTCCACGATGGCCCCGCCATCCAGGGGTCGATCTCGGACGTCTCTTTTTTGGCCGCGTGGCGATCATCGCGGCCCCGCGTGCCGAGCTGGGATGACGTCACGCGGCTGAGACGACCTTCTCGGGATTGTCTCAGCGGAACCCAAGGTCGACAGGTCGTCGACAATCCCGAGGGGTCACCAGCACTGGGCCCAGCCAGCTCGCCTGGGCTTTCCACGCGGTGGTCGTCGTGGGGTCGACAACCCCGAGGAGGGGGGTTGTCCGTTCTGGCCCGCGAAAATGGGCGGCCTTTTTCGTCCGCTGAGCTCTATTATGCTGTACGACGGGTGGTCTGCATTGCGTTGGATGGTTCTGGGTGACGTGTTCTTGTCGTCAAGCGTCACACTGGCGGGAGGGGACCAGACACACCAGCTGTGATTTCCCCCCTTCGAACAGCCGAATTGTGGCTTCAGCAATTCCAAGACGAGTTTGGTGGTCTAGTGAAACGGAACATCCGCCAAAACGCGGCTATTCTGCTTGGTGGCCTAGTGAATCGTTTGTTCGGCAATCTGGTGAAACCAACAAGAACTATGGTGATGTCCTGTCCGACGGTGATAGATTTGCCAGCTGTTATCATGGGCACCTACATTGGAGGTGTTCGCCGTCGCTGTTCGCTGGCGCAGTTATTTCTTTTCCCCCACAGGCGCAGCGGATGCGAATCCGCCTGATCCGATCAGGGCTTGCACATTGCGCTCACACAATCTACCAACCCCCGCGGGGTTTTCCCCAACACGTCATTCTAGCAGAGGGCAAGGGGCTGGATAACTAGCGGTGTGCTGCTGTGGTGGCTGGCCGAGCCCCTCATCTCGCCTCGCTGCCACTCCTCAGCGCCCAGCGCAAGGGCAGCAACCGCAAACAAGGGTGGTCCTCTCCTCCCCCTTCCGTTCCATTCTGTTTGGTTCGTTCCGCCCCACCCCGTCCGAAGAAAACTCAAGGGCGGGTTGTGTTGCGCGACTGAGTGGTTGCGCCGTGCCCCGCCACACGACCACTGCTGGCTTCGTTGGAGGGAAACGACGAACAGCACAACTTCCGATTCAATAACCGCTTTCTCCGCTTCCTCCCCAATTTCCAAGTGGGTCTGCTGCAGCAGAGGTGAGTAGAGATGCAAGCAGCAGCAGCAGCAATGGAAGCAGGACCGTAACAACAGGGGATGGTTGATTGACGTCACCTCGGTTTTTTCACTGAGCTCCACCTTACCAAGCCTTGACATCACAGATTAGGGTTGCACATGTTCAGAGATAGGGTCGTAACAGCCATGTCCTCGCGATTAAGCTTCGTTTGCCTTTGTTTACTTGTCGGGGCGTTGCTCGCCGCGTCCCAGCCGTTAATAGCAGTAAAATTGTAGAGCGGTTTAAGTAGGCAGCTCGCAACATACGCTTATCTGTCCATTCGGGGCGATGTATAAGACCATCAATAAGGTGTTTCACAACCATGGTGGCAAGAAGAAAACGAGAGGAGAGGCGTCGGACAGCATCAATCGCAGCCACAGCTCCGAGAAATCTCAGAATGCCGTTCCCTACGCCGGAACGCCAATTCCACAACACGTGGCCGTGGCGGCGGCGCAGGACCTGCGCCCAGATTCTCCGCTGCGCCTAGGCTCACCGTCGATTGCGGCGATTGGTGAGGCCACGCTTAAGAAGATCGTGAAGCGCGCGTTCTACGGCGAGGGGTCAGGCGCGCCGCCGGGGAGGCTGAAGGAGGTCCCGACAGAGATGCTGGCGTTCGAAATCGGCAGCATCATGCGGCGCATGCTCGAAATCTACGACTCCATGGCGGAAAAGATGCTCTCGTCGCTGCGCTCCAACCTTCAGGTCACCCCTTGCTGCCGCCCCCTGCCATCCATCTGCCTCCTTTTTCTCGCCGTGCTCTCTTCCTACCCTTCCTTTCCTCTCTCCTCCCCTCCGTCGCCCCCGAAGTTCCGCTGACCGTACCTCCATCGCTCCAGGCGTCCCCAACCCACGCGTGCGCTGCTCCGTCCCTTCCTCCCGTGCCCATTCCCCCTGTGTGGTGCGTGCAGGCTCCGGGAGTGGTCACGCTCATTTCCAATGACCTTCGGGTGCTCTGGGGCCTCGCAGGTAAGAGCCACTCGCAGGCCGTCGCAGTGAAAGCCAGTCGCAGGCCATCGCAGTGAAAGCCAGTCGCAGGCCGTCGCATTCGCACGCAGGTAGCAGGGCGTCGCAGGCAGTAGGTCGTCGCAGACACTAGGGTGTGGCAGGCGACGTTGAATGGCGGCGGGGATTCCGATATACGGCTCGAGGCCAGAGACCGGGGGGAAAGTGCCGCCGGCCAGCCTACCACTTCCCCATTCCGCGCTGCTCCTGCTGGCAGCGTATCTGGCCGCCCCACCTTTCGCGCATTGGCCTTCATCAGGCGACCCCTTCCCCGCCTAGCCTCGTTCCCCTTCCCCCGCCTAGCCACGTTCCCTCCGATCCGCTTCCCCCTTTCCTCCTTCCCGCTTTGTTCCGTCCCGCGTCTCCCCCCCTCGTCCCCCCAGGGTACGAGAAGCACGAGGAGCTGCGCGTGGTGGCGGCGCGCGTGGCGGTGCTGGGGCGCAAGGGCGCGGACGTGCGGCTGCGGCGGCTGGAGCGCGTGTTGGCGCACCTGGACTCGCCCGACGCCAACTACAAGGACTTCGCCGTCTCCTCCGCCGAGGGCGAGGTGCTCCTCAGGTGCGCGCACGCCCTCCGCCGTGCTGCCACGGCTGGACAGGGAAGGGCGGTTCAGGGGTGGCCGGAGGGATAAGCTGAGCGGGGGTGGGCGGATGGGATGGGCGTGTTGCAGAGAGGGTAGGGTGTGGTGACGGTCAAAGCGTGCGGCCATCCGTGCGTGCGTGTGCTCATAAGTGCTGCGTCTCTCTGTGCGTGCCATGATGCGTGCGTGCGATTGTGTGTGCGTGCGGTGCGGCGGTGTGCGCGGTGGCAGGTTCATGCGCGAGCAGGCGGAGGCGACCAACACGCTCAAGGCGGAGATGGAAGCCATTCAGCTGCTGCACTCCCGGTAAGCCCAGCTGCCTCCCCGGTACGCGCTGCACTCCCTCCAATACCAGAAACGGTCTTTTCGCGGCCCCGTCCTCCGGTCACCCGTTCAACGCGTAACCTTCACTCATCTTCTACGCCCTCGTTCCCTGCCCTGCCCTCTCCCCCCTCCCACCTCCCCATCCCCCCCCCTTTGGTGGGCGCGGGCGGCGCGCAGCATTCAGGAGTACGGGGAGTGGAATTCGCTGCAGGAGATGGTGACTCAGGGCAAGCTGGTGGAGAAGCTGCAGGGCCACTGCCTCTGGGCCTACAACCTCGACTACCTCGTGCAGGTTAGCCCTCCCCCTCCGCCACGTGCGCCCTCCCCCTCCACCACCTCGCGCAGGTCAGTTCCCACCTCCGTCGTGTCGCGCTCGTTCCTTGTCATCCGCCCACAAGCCCCTTCCCCCATTTCCCCCCCGCCCGCGCGTGGCGCAGCTGCTGGTGGTGGCGGCGTGCTACGTGCGCAAGAAGATCTTCGCGTCGTTCGGCCACGGCATGTGCCCCGCGCGCATCCGCGCAGCATCGCTGGGCGAGGCGGGGCTGGCGCTGCACTACGCAAACGTGGTGGTGCTGCTGGAGAGGATCATCCAGCAGCCCGACGCCGTGCTCGGCCCCACGCGCGACGAGCTCTACGACATGCTACCGCGCTCCATCCAGTACCTGCTGCGCGTGCAGCTGCAGGACCCGCTCAACTTCACGGCGGACGGGCGCGTGGAGGCGAACCTGAAGCGCGGGCTGCTGCTGCTGCCCACCATGGCGCACAACACCATTCACTGGCACTCCCTGCACACGCCCGGCGCCGCTCTTGACTTCGGCGAAATGGTCTTCCAAGTGCAGGTCGGTGCCGCGCACTGGCCACTGCTCACGCCGTTCTGCTTGCGTGTGTGCTTGTTTACGCGTGCACACACTCACTATCTCCCTCCGCGCATCTCAACCCCATTCTGCCTTACCCCTCCCCCTTCTCCCCCTTGTGGCGCACCAGACGTTCTACTACGCGAATCGCGAGGCGGTGAACGCGACGCTGGTGGACGTGCTGCTGGGGCTGTGCCGCATCTGCGGCGTGGAGGCGCCCATCGGCAGCATCTCCCTGCACGCGCCCGCCACCGCCGACTACTCGCTCGCGCTCGCGCGCTCCCAGGAGGAGGACGAGCGCGGCTTCCGCCGGCAGTGGGGCATGGAGGCGCGCGAGGAGGACTGGTTCGGTGGGCAGGTCTTCAAGGTCGCGGACGAGCGCCGCGCGCCGCGCAGGGACGCCGCGCAGGGGGGTGCGCAGCAGGGCGCGCACGCTGGGGGGTTCGCGGAGGGCGGGGGATACGGGGGAGGCGGGTACGGTGGTGGGAGCGAGGGGCAGTTCAGCGGGGACGGGTACGGCGAGCAGGGCGGGCAGTGGCAGGTGCAGGGCGGGGGGATGGACGGCAGGGGGGACGGACGAGCAGCAGCGGCGGCAGGGAGCATGGGAGGGGGGGCGTTTGCGCGGGTGCGGGTGGGGCAGGAGGAGGGTCGGGGGGCGTCAATGGAGCGGCGCAGCGGCAGCTGGGTGTCGGACGCGTCCACGGACGACAACACCACCTTCGGCGCCTCCTCGCCCTCCCTCTCGCTCTCCGAGGCCGGCAGCGCCTCCAGCGCCAAGCCCACGCGCGGGCGCTCCTCGCGCCTGTCGCGGGATCCGTCGCTGTCCACGGACGGCCCCTCCACGCCCTCCAGCCTCGCCTCTGACCACAACGGCTATGCTGCCGAGGGCCCGGGCGCAGGGGATGGTGGGGGTGGGGGCAGGGGTGGGCAAGGTGCAGCAGCCCCGCCGGCGGGGAGGAAAGCGAGCCGCACGTCCAGCCGTAAGGGCAGCAGCGGTAGCAATAACGGCTCTGATCGCCCCTCCACTCCGCCCATGTTCTCCTCCCCCTTGCGCTCCCCTTCCGCGGATCTCCCCCCCACCACCCCCCCACACCACTCCCGGACACCCCAACGCTCGCCCAGACAAGGGGCAGGAGGAGATGGGGACGGGGGAGGGGGAGGTGGAGGGGAAGGTGGGGCGGGTTGGGGTGGGCACAGCGAGGGGCGCAAAAGTCGGAGCAAGAAGGGAGCAAGAGGGAGCAGCAGCAGCAGCAGTGGCGGCGGGGGAGAGGGCGGTTTCTTCAGCAGCAGCGGCAGCTTCAAGGACCACGGGTTATCGCCAATGCGCCCCTCGAACCTCTCAGTGCCGGCGTCGGTGTCATCATCGCCGTCTCCCTCGTCCGTGCCGCGGCAGGTGAGCGCGGACGCCCTGTCGGTGGGGTCCAACGACAGCGACGGCCGTTGGTCCTCGTCGCTCTCGCGCCGCTCCTCTCGCTGGGCGGGCGTGGTGGGCTTTGGCAAGTCCAAGTCGTCCCGCCTGCCCGAGGGGCCCCGCCCATGCCGCCACCGCCCGCGGTGGTTGGGGGGGCGCAGGAGAGCGTGGCGGGCAGCAGCGTGGAGGAGGGGGGGGCGGTGGCGGGGGAGAATCCGTACGACGACCCGGCGTTTGCGGGGCTGGACACACCGACGCTGCGCAAGGCGATGCAGAGCGGCGGGCTGGTGGGGTGCTTCACGGGGGGGTCGAGCGTGGCGGACTCGGACTCGGAGGCGGAGAGCCTGTCGTCCGTCGGCAGCCACTCCTCGCGCCCCGGCAGCACCTCCTCGCGCTCCCGCCGCAGCAGCAGAGCGCCCGAGGGGCCGGGCGACGGAGGGCAGGGGCAGGCAGGGCGCGGGCGAGTGAGGCGGTCCACGAGCAGGAGCAAGGGAGGCAGTGGGGTGGGGGCGGGGGCAGGCGAGGGCAGAGGTGGGGTTGGGAGTGCAGCAGCGATGCAGCCGCGTACCCGACACTACTACTCGCAGCCACTGCCACCACGCGACCAGTGGAAGGAAGCAGCAAGAGATGAAGTGCAGTGAGGGTGAGAGACGGCAGACACTGTGCGGGCAGCTTGGCAAGTGGAACGATTCTGCTTTACCATCGATGCCTCGGTATTTGGAGCAGCACCCATGGCAAGCTAACTAACACCTGTAACATATGCTAACCCTGCAGTTTGGTTTAGGGTTTCCTTCAGAGCTTAAGTTATTGTGCCATTAATTGGCTCACCTCAGCGTAGAACAAACGGGCACCATGATGGACAGCAGCCGAAGGGGCTACAGTGTGTCCTACAGACGCCAGTTGCATTCAAAGTGGCCGGCCAGCCTTTGCATTGATAAATGCTCCCACGTGTATCATGTATTGAAATCATGGGTGGTGTTGCGCCTGTTTTTTATCTGTGAAAGATACCGATTAAAGTACATGATATTTCTAATTCTTGGCTAGCCTGTATTATCACACAAAGATGTAGCCCGTATTATATTACATCAATGTGAATAATTGCAGAAGATGATTCCGGCTTCACAGACCTCGCAATAAGGTGATCGACAATGTCGCGAATGTTTGCCCAGATCCAACGGTTGTCACAACTGCAAAAAATCAAGAACAAGGGCCTAGCGTCTGCAAAAATTCAAAAACAAGGGCCTAGCGTCTGCAAAATTGCAAGAATAAGGGCCTAGCGTCTGCAAAAATTCAAGAACAAAGGCCTAGCGTCTGCAAAAATTGCAAGAACAAGGGCCTAGCGTCTGCAAAAAATCAAGAACAAGGGCCTAGCGTCTGCAAAAATTCAAGAACAAGGGCCTAGTGTCTGCAAAAATACAAGTACAAGGGACTAGCGTCTGCAAAAATTCAAAAACAAGGGCCTAGCGTCTGCAAAATTGCAAGAACAAGGGCCTAGCGTCTGCAAAATTGCAAAAACAAGGGCCTAGCGTCTGCAAAATTGCAAGAACAAGGACCTAGCGTCTGCAAAAATTCAAGAACAAGGGCCTAGCGAGTGCAAAATTGCAAGAACAAGGGCCTAGCGTCTGAAAAAATTCAAGAACAAGGGCCTAGCGTCTGCAAAAATTCAAGAACAAGGGCCTAGCGTCTGCAAAATTGCAAGAACAAGGGCCTAGCGTCTGCAAAATTGCAAGAACAGGGGCCTAGCGTCTGCAAAATTGCAAGAACAAGGGCCTAGCGTCTACAAAAATTCAAGAACAAGGGCCTAGCGTCTGCAAAAATTCAAGAACAAGGGCCTAGCGTCTGCAAAAATTCAAGAACAAGGGCATAAAAAATTCAAGAACAAGGGCAGGCAGGTACGTGGGGTAGCGCGGTAACTGCAGCGATAGGTGGGCCCGAAAAAAAAAACGGTCCTACGGACCTTAGTGCTCTGAAACCATGTTAGAATCTAGCAGCAGGAATGGATGAACTAGCAGCATGCAGGAGTACAAGTAGTAAACCCTAATTGGGCTGTACCCCATATGGGCTACCCCACTACAGCTTACACAATATGCAGTACATATAGTTTGACACACCCCCATAGGCAAAGTGGGGGAGAACAAGGGGTCACACGACCAGTCAAGAGAAGCAAAACAAGCTCAGGGTGGATCACAACGTCACCACGCATTCCGAGCACAAGCAAAGGGCCACAGGGCCAGTTCACATGCAGAGATATATATGCAGCAATAACAGTACAGTGATGGCTACCTAGCAAGAGCCAGCATGCATATATATATATATAGATCGCAGTACAAGCAGAGACTACAGCAAGTGTGGAAACGTAGGCACAAGGCCCAACAGAGTACAAAAGCGCTGATGATCACCAGACGGAAGTGCCTTGGTGAATATATCAGCAGTGTTGGCCCGAGTGGCCACGTGGCGAAGACGAAGCTGGCCTCGCTGCTGCAACTCTCAAGCCAGGAAGTAACGCAGAGCAATGTGCTTCGTTCTGTGCTCCAGTCTGTGCTCCTCACACAAGGCAATGGCGGCCTTGTTGTCGACGTACAGCACTGGAGGAGAACGAGGCTGCTCTCCCAAGTCAGTCAGCAGGTAGGTGAGCCAGCGTAACTCCTGTGCAGCCATGGCTGTGGCGTAGATCTCAGCCTCACAACTGGAGCTGAGAACTGAAGACGAGCGTGTAGAACGCCACGAAACTGAACCAGAGCCAAGGCTGAAGGTGTAACCCTGTGACGACCGCTGAGTAGCCTGGTCGTCAACCCAAGAAGCGTCTGAGTGCCCAGTGAGGACAACTGGGCTCGTCCCTCCAAGCACTAGCCCCATGCCTGATGTGCTGCACAAGTAGCGTAGTACCCTCTTAGCAGCAGCCATGTGCTTAGGTCGGTGCCGACCAGGAGCCACGTAGCGAGCCAGAAGACCAAGAGGGTACGCGAGGTCAGGTCGAGTGCAAGTCATCAGGTACATGAGGCAGCCGACTAGCTCTGGGTAAGGACCACTCGGCTCTACGGACTCGTCCGAAGGTGGAGCTGAGAGCGAGTGACCTGTAGCCAGAGGAGTGGCCTGTGCTGAAGACCAGGTGAAGCCGAAGCGCTGAAGGACCTGCTGCACCATGTGTGACTGAGTCAAGGTGATGGTGCGACGTGCTCTGTCTCGGGTGATCTGCAAGCCAAGGTAGCTGCGCAGCTCACCCAAGTCTGTGCACGTGTGTCTCTTCTGCAGCTCCGACTTCACGTGGGTGAGAGCCTCAGTGTCAGCAGTGGCAAAAACCAAGTCGTCGACGTACACGAGGATGTAGAACGGCGGCAGGGAAGTGTCGGTGCGCAGAAACAGCGACGGGTCAGCAGTAGAAGGCGCGAACCCAAGAGCCGCAAGCGTAGTCCTCAGTGTGTCGTGCCACTCACGTGGCGCCTGGCGGAGACCGTAGACCGGCCGCCGGAGGCTCCACTGGGTACCAGGAGGGAACGACCCAGTGAAGCCCGGGGGGCGGCGCAGCCAGATCTCCTCGTGCAGGCTGCCCTGCAAGAAAGCTGTGCTGAAGTCAAGAGAGTGAAGCTCGTAGTCACGGTGAGCAGCAACGTGCAGCAGCACCCGAAGAGTGGTCATCTTCGGGGTGGGGGAGAAGGTCTGGAAGAAGTCAACTCCCTCTCGCTGACTGAAGCCTCGAGCCACGTAACGCGCCTTGAAGACAGGCGGAGAACCCGGCGGTCGCTTCACCCTGAAAATCCACATGCCACTGACGATGTTCGCCCCAGGTGGGAGAACCTCGTCAACGTAGGTGTCTGTGGACTTCCAGGAAGCCATCTCTGCGTCCATGGCTGCCTGCCACTGAGAGGAGTAGGGACCCTCTATCGCCTCTGCGTAAGAGCGCGGAGTCGGGATGTCTGGTGCATCCGGGTCTCCCTCAGGGGCAAGTAGCGAGGACACAAGATGAGGTAAAGCAGCAGCAAGACACTGGAACTCCTCCTGCCTGTCCTCAAGGACGTCCGTGCTAAGAGCACACTCACCCCCGACGGACGGAGGACAGACAGACTCAGACTCAGTAACAAGACTGGCAGCGAAGTCTAGACGACAGGCAGCAGCAAAGTCAACAAGCTCAGCGACAAGAGCAGACGCAGCAGCAGACTCAAACGACGGGTCAGTGACAACTGTGGCTAGTAGACGCGTGACAGTAGGGTGCTCAGCACGAAACCGGTCAGACGCAGGGTCCGGAACGTCAGGCAAAGAGGACGCAGGAGGAGACGGCAGAGGAACAGGCTGCGGAGCAGAGGAAGGACGACGGACTACGAGGTGTGCGCTGGGGACAGCCGGCTGACGCGAACGAGGAACACGACGACCGGTACGACTAGGACGAACAGGCGAAACAGGACGCGACGCAGGCTCACGACGCTCAGCAGGACTACCAGTCTGCACAGTGTAAGGAGACTGTGAGCCAGGCTGTAACGGAAGACCAGTAGACGACGGGAGAGTAAGAACCTGACGAAGAACAGAGTCAGACGGCGGCAGAGACGACGGAGACGGCGGAGCGAAGAACCGTCGTGTCGGCGCAGCTGCACCAGGACCGGCAGCTCCAGCAGCTCCAGTGCCTCCAGCAGCTCCAGCACCTCCAGCAGCTCCAGTACCTCCAGCAGCTCCAGAAGCTCCAGTCCCAGAGCCGACACCTCCAGTCCCAGGGTCTCCAACCTCTGTGTCTCCAGCAGCAGCACCCCCAGAACCAGCACCTCCAGTCCCAGGGTCTCCAGCCCCAGGGTCTCCAGCAGCAGCACCCCCAGAGCCAGCACCTCCAGTCCCAGGGTCTCCAGCCTCAGTGTCTCCAGTACGAGCACCTCCAGTAGACAAAGGACCAGCACCACTCCTAGCTCCAGCAGCGCGACGCTGACGGCGACCGTACCAGTCCTGCAGCTGCTGTGGGGTGAGAGGCACACGTGGACGAAGGCGGCTACTCCAAGGAGACCGCGCAACAGCAGACTCAGAACCCTCAGCGCCCGCACCCCCAACGGCTCCAGAACCTCCGGTGTCAGTACCCTCAGCACCAGTACCTCCAGCGGCTCCAGAACCTCCAGCGCGAGCACCCTCAGCAGCTCCAGAACCTCCAGCTCCAGCGCCACCAGTACTAGGCCCTCCAGCAGCTCCCGAACCTCCAGCGCCAGCACCCTCAGTAGCTCCAGAACCTCCAGCGTCAGTACCGCCAAGCTCAGCACCCCCAGACCCCTCACACTCAGGCTCAGCACCACCAAGCTCCACACCCTCAAGCTCCGCACCCGCAGGCTCAGCACCCCCAGGCTCCGCACCCCAAGGCTCAGCACCCCCAGAAGTAGCACCCCGGGCAGGGCCACCCTCAGTAGGACCTGAGTCACCAGTGACCTCAACCGGCGCAGACAAGGGAGGAGGGTCTACCTGAGACACACCTGAAGGAGCAGGACCTGGAGCGGGGAGGGGGTCTACCTGGGGAGCACCTGGAGCGAGGAAGAGCGGCGGGGGGGGGGAGCGGGGCAGTGCGGTAGGGGAAGAGACGGTAAAAGGGAACCGACTCGTCGAACGTGACGTCCTGAGACGCAAAGACACGGCGCGAGGTGGGGTGGTAAAACTGCCAACCAGGCGCGTCAGGGACAAAGCCAAGGAAGACACAGGGAACAGCGCGGGCGGAGAGCTTGTCCGCGGTGGTATCGCGGACAAATGCACGAGCACCCCAGACCCGGAAACGCGACGCATCGCCAACCTTCCCCGTCCACAGCAGTGTGGGCGAGGTCTCCGGCAAGGAGACACGGGGCCA